CAATTCGTTCACATTATTCAATAATTCAATCAAATACAAACTTAATATAATAATCCCCCTATCCCTCTATATATTAATTCAGAACATGTTGAGCCTAAGTGTCAGACTCGCATGCTTTGGGATCCTATATGGCAAAATTACATGCTTCGTTATTAGGTTTGGGTCTGGTTGGGTGGAAGAAGCCCCCAAGTGGAACAATCAAGCTTCATATTGATGGTAGTAGGGACCCCGGAACCAAAAGATCTGCAATAGGAGTCCGAGGACATCTGACTTCACTGCGCTTCGCACTACTTCTGACTTCACTGCGCTTCAAATTATCCGTTAATGTGTTGATTATTTATGGTAATGTTACATTATTAACTGCATTTTAATATCATTTCTTATTATAACAATTGAATTATAAATGCATTTTACAAATTAATAACTTTTATATTTTTTATCAGTTTTACATATATAATATATCAAATTAATCATCTCTTGATGAGCTTCGATTTAACATCCATATTGTATGTATAAAAAAATAAATTATAATTTTTTTAATATTAATTAGAAAATAAATTATTTATCAATTAATATATTTATATTTCAAGCATTTATATGATATAAGTTATAAAAATTATTATAATAAAACACATGTAAGTCGCACAATTAACAATTGTCATTCTAAAATATATAATAATATATATTTTTTGTAAAAAAGTAAATAAAATGAAAATAATTATTTTTATTAATTTTGAAATTTAAGAATAATTTTTTTAACAAATATCCGTATAATACACGAGTGTTGTACTTACTAGTGTACTGTAAAACAAAAAGTTTTGGTCAGTTTTGGTTGACCACGGTAATACGGCACACAGCTAGTACCACATAATGAGTGCGTTTTGCGCCAAAAAAAATTCCAAAAACAAAAAAATACTTCAAAAATATAAACGGGTAAATATTTTACAAGACAAATATCACGAGAACAATACACAATACCTGCTACAGAGGTGTGAGTATTTACAACACTATTATTATGATTATGATTTTTTTAAAGAAAATTAAAAGTAATCATAGATTNTAGATGTGTATATATTCTTCATTGCGCCATTTTATCTTCACCCTGAGGCACAAAACCGCCATAGATGCATATTACTCACAGCTTACAGCCTCTTAACAAAAAAGCTCGAGTCTCTTTGCTCCAATGTCGAACTAGACACCCGCAGCTCCACACACTTTGACACACGCACACACACACACACTCACACACACACACACACAGAAATCAAACCACGATGTTCGATCTGAATCTGGCCGCCGATTTCTCCGGGAAGGCCAATTTTGAGGACGACGGTCGCTCGGAGGCGCTGTCACCGGAGGAAGGAGAAATCGCCTCCAGCAACGACGACGCGTGCTCCACACGCGCCGCCGACCCGTGTCTGGTTACCCGGGATCTGTTCCCGGCGGATCGGGTCGCGGATGCCCCCTCGGATCACGGTCCTCCGCAGGTGCAGGGGAAGAAGAGCCGGCGGGGCCCCCGGTCGAGGAGTTCGCAGTACAGAGGGGTTACTTTCTACCGGAGGACCGGCCGGTGGGAGTCACATATATGGTCCGATTTGCAGGCCTTTTTTACTCCATTTTTATTTATTTATCTATTTATTTATTTATTTTCACTTTCATTTGTTTTTAACCTTTTATTTTTATTCTGTGTTACTGCTCGATTTTGGGTGCAGGGATTGTGGGAAACAAGTTTATTTGGGTACGAATATGACTGATTCCAATTTTGAAATTTCGATTTAAGATGCATTTTCCTTCAATGCTTTGGCGTCAATATGGATTGATGTTGTTTGGTGTGGATTTCTGTTTAGGTGGATTTGACACTGCTCTTGCAGCGGCTAGGTGAGGTTTTCATTTCTAAAGTTGTATATCTTTCGAAGTGCTTTGATGGAATTTCTTGATCGACAAGTTTATCTACTTTGCGTGACATCAGAGCTTACGACAGAGCTGCAATAAAGTTCCGTGGAGTCGATGCTGATATCAACTTTAACCTCAAAGACTATGAGGAAGATATGAAGCAAGTGAGAGGCTATCCTCAGTCTTTAGTTTTCGTGTTTTGTAACACCTATATTCTCATGTTCATGAACAATTTCGCAATTAACTTTGGTAGCTTCTTCGAGTGGAAGAATGATTGTCGTGTGTGTAAAGTACGTGATTAAAGTATCACACTGTTCGTAGTTTCATGAATGAAAATTGCAGTCTAGCGAAGTTCTCATAATTTGCTCATCTATGTCATTTATTTACTCCTCTTTGCATTTTTTTTTCCTCCCCTATAAATGCAGGCTAACAATCTGTCGAAGGAAGAATTTGTGCATATATTACGTAGGCAGAGCACTGGATTCTCGAGGGGTAGTTCTAAGTACAGAGGAGTTACGCTCCACAAGTGTGGCCGTTGGGAAGCTCGAATGGGACAATTTCTTGGCAAAAAGTGAGCAAAATACTCAAACTCTGCATCCTTCTCCTACTCTTTGTATTGCTTTGTGTCTTTTAACTTTTTAGATATCTCATAGAATTTAGCTTTAGATCGTTTGCAGGTTGTTCTAGTGAAAGTCTCGATTCACCAGAACTTACTGAATTAGTGAATTTTGTTATGTATTAGAAACAATAGTAGGCGTTTTCAAGTGTAAATTTGGCAAGAAAAACATTTGGGATTCGTATTTTCTTAGCGAGGATTACGGTGCACTGCAGGTATATATATCTTGGGCTATTCAACACTGAAGTAGAAGCTGCAAGGTCCTTATAATGATCATTGACATTAAATTTTAGCCCTATGAAAAAAAAAGTTTACCATTCTTCTCAAAAGGGTGTGGCCCAAACTCCTCTCTATCCCTCTCTTCATTTTTGAATTTTCTTTTACTGAAAAGCAGGGCTTATGACAAGGCTGCCATCAAGTGCAATGGAAGAGAAGCTGTCACCAACTTTGAGCCGAGCACGTACGAAGGAGAGATGCTATCAGAAGCATATAGCCAAGGTAATTTATTAAGTTTGTAGCTTTGTTTTTTGTTTTTCGTTTGTCCTTTTTTTTTCGTCAACAATAGTATACATAAGTTATGAATGGTTTGTGATAACAGGTGGCGAAAATGATCTTGATTTGAACTTGGGGATGTCAGTTTCTTCTCCAAAGGATACTGGAAATTCCGGGTCTTTCAGATTCCGTCCTTATGATGTTAACGATGCAAGAATTTCGACGGTAATATTTCGACTTACTGTTTCTGGTAAATATGTCGAGGATAAAATGGTTATCCATTTGTGCCGGTTACATTTAACACAGTTCGATTCTCCAGTGTTTGCTTCTGTCGAGTGATTATTATATCTTCATCTTCAATATTTTTTATTTTTTTCGAAAAAATGGGATTTTTTTTTTTTGTTTTTGTTTTTTGAAAATCCAGTTATCTGTACTTCTGCAGCAGCTAAACATGGAGAATCCGACCGCTGCAAGAGTGGGTAATCCACCACCGCTAAACGGACTGCCGATAACAACATTAGCTCATCCTATTTTGTTAACCGGAATGAATCATGAATTCGCTCCTTCGTACGAGGTTAGACATTGTCGATTTTCCCTTTTTCTTCTTGCATCACAACACATTGTGGAAATTAATCCTATCTTTAAGGATATAGAAAAACATTGATTGCTACATTGATTTTACTTGTGAATTCACGCGAAGTTAGTGTTTTGAGACTCTCGTTGAACTGTTTTTTGCAGGAAGAGGCCATTGAGCGAGCTCGAAAACCAGCTTCTCGAGAAGAAGTAGGTCAGTGGGCCCGTGCGTGTAGCGATCAGTTTCGAGCTAACCCGACTGCAACTGCAGCATCATCAGGATTCTCATCATCATCTCCATTCTCTAGTTCGTATCCAACGGCCCTTAACCTCTGCTTCTCTTTGTGTCCAAATGCACCTTCAACAAAAGCTTCTCAACATTCATCTGCACATATAAGCTCAACCTTGCCACGCCCATGAACTTGAAGCATCATCTGCTTCGGATATGCAGAGACACAATATTTCTTGTTCTTTTTTTATTTTTGTAACTCTTTTTGTTCTCTGTTTTTTTCTTTCGTCCAAAAGACGTTGATGTACAGAGAACATATAAAATATTGGGGAATGCTACAATCCCGTGAGGGAATGGTTCCCTCAAATCAATATAAGCCATTACGTCCTTTATTTTTTATATGGACCTTTAGATGTAATAAAATAAAAGTGATGTGACAGTTTTTTGTTGGAGTTTGATGTAAGAGAATGGTTATGTTATAGGACCGTAGCATTGTCTATATTGGAGGTAATGGTCCTGTTACGGATCTGTAGCATTTTCCTAAAATATTATTTTACAACTTACGGAGATGATTGATATATATTGATAACAATTTGTTACCATGTAAAATATTATTTCACAACTTACAGAGATGAGTGATATATATTGATAATAATTCGTTACCAAACTATTTTGTACGCAAAAAAGTGAACGGACGATATGAAATGAGTGATCGCCAAAGAGAATGAGATCGACAAAGTAATATTTATTGCTCTTTGTGAGTGTTTATATAGTTCATTGCGTGGTTCTAGAACATATTCAATACGTGGTACTCTTTAAACAATTAAGGCGAAAAGACAATGATTGTCGTATGTCAATTAAGGATGTGAAGAGCCGACGCGCGTCTAGGAAAGGGACGTGCATGAGAAGAGATCGATCTACATGAGAAGAGACGGATCTACCATTCGTTTGAGTTGGGTTGAAATCCATGCCTGTTATTTATTTTTTAACAACTACTAGCTTTGAAATTTTTTTATAATGTCTCTACCCCAGCCCAGTAAACCAATCCACTTAAAATTAACTTACCTATATATATAAGCCCAAAACATTACTCTAACATAAACAATGTAGAGAAAAATTACCTAATCCATTATACAAGATACTTTTTATTATATATTTACACTCCATATGTATTTATTAGCAAAATAACTACGACTAGGTAATTTATCTATATATATATAAAGAGGAGCAACAAAGCATTAAATTATATTATCATGCATTAAATTTATTATCCCTCCAAAACTTTCAACATTCAATTTTATTAGTTTTCTGCATTAATTTTTATTATCCCTCCAAAATTTTCAACATTCAATTTTATTAGTTTTCACATACCACCTAAAACTGTTACATTCAACATTCAATTTTATTTTATTAGTTTTCACATTATATAAAGAGGAGCAACATAATTAATAATATTATTTCACTTTCCCTCTAAAATCGGTTACAAAACATTTAATTTATTTATTTTTTCTTTTTTTCTTTGCTCATCTCAGTTGTGTAACGTTTTTTATCACCTCTTCCCCATCAATCAAATTATGTAACAATCATTATTTGATCTGATATGGAAGAATTCATACTTATTTTCTTTTCAAATTTCATTTATCTTTGATTACATAAAATAGTTTTATACAATAATTCAGATTCCAAAATGATGTAATGCTCATTCTTCGATATGATCTGACAGGATTCATGCCTATTTCCTTTTCACTTTACTTATTTGTTGAATGAATGTAACAAAATATATGTATTATATATATATATATATATATATATATATATATATAGGGTCACGCTCCGGTGAGAATGATGCTTACTAAGAGAAGTAAGAATAAACCTTGACCACAAGATTCACTTAATCTCGCGGACAGCAACAGCTCACCTTCACATAACTAGAAGGGAGAATTAGTAATTACGTTATACACAACCCCAAGCCATTCTCTCAGCTCGACATTAAATTCAACATCAAACGCGACTGTGAAAAATCCCAAACATCAAACGCCGTTCTCCCAGCTTGATTTTAAATCCCAAACCTCCAAGCTCGACGTCGAAATCCCGAAGCTCGAAATCAAAATCTATGAAAAATCCCAAATCTCCAAGCTAGAAAGGCTCTCAGATTGAATTTCATCGAATCTGGATTCTGCATCAGCGGTTAGGGTAAAAATTGAAATCAGGTATGTACGTTATTGGAATTTAGGGCTTTAATTCAACACATACGATCGATTTAGGACCTTCTTCTTTTCTCTCTTTTTTTTTTCCTGTTATTGTTGATTCAGGACCTTCTGTTGAATTGTTGATATATGATACGATTTGTCCTTTTTTTTGTTTCCAATTGTAAATTTAAGGCATCTTAGAGAACATACGTTGCACTGCTTTCATACCGTTGTACCGCATAAGACGATGGAATCAAATGTTGCTCAGACGGGTAGGGACCAATGTTTCGTCTTGTACGATGAAAATATATTTAATGAGTCCTAGTATGTGTAATGTGCACATATATGCAATGATTCGTGCAAGTTTATGAACAGTGTTGTGCAACTAGTACAATGATGTGTTTGATCTCTATATGTGTTCATGTGATCGACATATATCTTGTGCTTGACATCTATATATGTTTATATTTATATGTTTGACATCTATATTAACTTATTTGTTTGTCATATTGTGTTTGTGTTTGACATCTGATGTATCCCTTCTTTATATATATATATATATATATTGACTCTATAATGTTCATGCATCGAGCTGTTGATGTGCATTACTCCGTCTACAATTGTGCAATTTTATGAACTTATTGCATCCATCCACAGGGACACCATCATCATATACGGCTCGTCAGCAAATGTCAATCACTCCTGGTGGCGCTAAGTATTGGATACCACAGTGTGATGATCCCCTTAAACCTTATAAGGGGCAAAAATTCCGAACACTGGATGATGCAATAACCTTCTACAAGACATACGCGTATGCTGTTGGTTTTGATGTATGACAGAGCACCTTGATCAAGGCACGTGATAATAAGACCATACTTTGGAGGTATCTGGTATGCTCGCGAGAGGGTTATAAACACAGTACACATGCCGATGTGCACATAAAAAGATGACGAGTATTTAACCGTGTGGGTTGTGTTGCGAGGATAGTGTTGCGTGTGGACGGGCTCAATGGGTATATTGTCAGCTCTTTCGAGGATAAACACAACCACTCGATGACTTCTGAAGAATGCAGACAACATCTCAATATCAACAGAACTATGAATGCGGGACATCAAATTTTCGTCTTGAATTGCATAAAGGCAAACATTGGGCCTGTCAAATCATACAAGTTGTACAAAGAAATTGTGGGAGGATATTCCGTTATTGGTGCCACAAGCGTGGATTTCAAGAACTTCAAACGGGAAATCCTTGCTTACATTTTAGGAGCAGACGCGCAATTGGTCATCGACAAGTTCTATAAGAGACAAGAGCATAGCACCGCATTTTACTTTCACTACGAAGTAGACGATAATGACTGCTTGCAACGACTTTTCTGGGCGAATCCAATTTCAAGACGGAATTATGGATCATTCGGGGATGTCGTGACATTTGATGCAACATATCGCACCAAACGGTAACTTACAACCTGTATTCTATCTGATTGCATTGTATTACAGAATGACTGAATGCACAAAATACCAATATTGATTGCACATTACATAGTTATAGGATGCACACTAAATCATACAGTGATGAACATTATACTATACCTCAAACCGTATGTTAACACTCAATGGTTATCTTTACAGATACAACATGGTGTTTGCTCCCTTCACAGGGATCGATAACCACAACAAATGTGTTACTTTTGCGGCAGCCTTGATATCGAAGGAGGACGTGGGTTCGTATGTTTGGGTGTTTGAAAATTTCAAAGCCGCCATGATTCGAGAGCCAGAATACATTGTTACGGACCAAGATCCCTCAATTGAAATCGCCTTTTCTAAGGTATTTAATACGTCAAGGCATCGTTTTTGCATGTGGCACATAATGGCAAAATTATGTGATAAGGTAGGGCATTGTTTGCATAATGATGTTGGTTTCAAATCCAGACTTAATGAGCTTGTTTGGAATCGAACAATGGAACCACCAGATTTTGAGACGAAGTGGATTGAACTCATGCGTGAATATGAGCTGGAAACCCACAACTGGTTTGTTGATTTGTATGAAAAGCGAGAACATTGGATTTCGGCATTCTTTAGAAGTGTTAAAATGAGCGGGCTAATGAGAACCACGTCTAGGTCGAAGAGTGAGAACAATTGGTTCGGCTATTTCATAAATAGTCATGCTAGTCTAGTCGAATTCTTGCTACACTTTGATAGTGCAATGGATGCACAACGAAACACATCAATGAAGTTGCAAGCGGACAGTGAAACACACTTGGCTAACTTGAAAACTCCATTGGCTATTGAAAAGAATGCTCTGAATGTATATACCACTGCCATGTTCTATCTTATTCAAAAAGAAATATGTGCAGCATGTTTCCATTGTCGTCTTATGAAATTCTCAGATGACGATGGGCATACGAAATTCGAAGTCCAAGATATTAATGGCTAGACATTCACAGTGCTATACAATGCGAGTCTGAAAACGGCCACATGCTCTTGCAAGCATTTTGAAATGTATGGGTGGCTGTGCAGGCACATTTTCGTTGTGTTGAGGGATATGAACGCTGAGGTTATACCGACTACATATATTCTATCAAGATGGACAAAATTGACCATTTTTAACCCAATGTTTTGCGTTGTTGATGGTATAACCGAACAGTGTGCTCAAATTGATGATAGGAAATTCATGGTGAATAAATTGTGGTCTGACATACATCTATGCATGGGATTGGTCGAGACATCCATGGACCGCCTTGTCGAGTTTTCAAGACTTATCGGAAACCACAAGCACAAGTTGATGACTGAACAGAGACCTGTTCCAACCGGGACGAAAGAGCATCGATTTGAAACGTTTGTCGGCATGTCTGTCCCTCAGGAGTTGAACATACACCCGCCGGCTAAATCAAATTACAAGGGCAGTGGGAAAAGGATGAAAAGCGGGAAGGAGTAAGCAATCGAAAAATCCATAAAAAAGAGACGTATATGCAAGACGTGCGGTGAGAGGGCAGGTCACAACACCCGGACATGTCCCAAGAAACTGTCGTGGTATGATTTCTAATACATTTCCCGTCTACAAAAAAAAAAACAAAAAAACTTTGTTCATGCATCGTTGTGTTAAATTTTTGTTACATTGGATTACACTATCGAGGTACGAGCATGCCTTACATATTTCACTAATCGACGTATCTAATTACATGCAGACAACGAGAGTCAATGAGAGTGGATGAAGATGCTGAAAGCTTCGATGTTGCACTTAACCCATTATTTTATTTTATTTTTCGTGTTTTTTTTTTTTTTTTTTTTTTTTTTTTTTTTTTTTTTTTTTTTT